ACCTTCTGGGCCAGTCACCTTTGTCATAGAAGCTCTTATATTTACTTATCACCTCCACCACCACACTTTTCCACCACCACCGCCTTTTGCCACCAACACCACCATCAGCCACACACAAACCACCACCACCACTATCGTCCATCATCCACCATCACCACCACTACCATCCATCATCCACCACCACCCAACGCCACCCTTATCCCTCCATCACAGAAACCCATCATCACACTACCATCATCTTCTCCACTGAAACACACATACTGAAACACAAACATACATACATTCAAGCAAGATTTAGAACTCAAAGAAGATTTTCAGAACAACTCAAACAAGGAAATGATTTTCAGAACTAAAGACAATTTAGAACTCAAACACAATTCAGAACTATAACAAGAAGAATTCAACCACAATTCAGAAATCAAACAAGATTTTGGAAACGAGACTTTGGATCAAAGCAAACCCTAAACCCCTTCTTTTTTTTTTTATCGTCTTCTCCGGCTGTTGCTTATCCATTATCACACATACCTGAAATCGATAAACCAATACCATAAGCCACCACACAAACACCTTAACACCACCATTAACCTCCATTACAACCACTTTTCACCAACCTCCACAAACCTTCAATAATCGACATTTCAGCTACCATTGTCTTCTCCTTACCCTGTTCATGCACACTAAGACTTCCAGTCATCGCCATAGCCCCTTCAAGTTAAATTGAAGAGGGTATGGTGCGATTCGAATCAGAAAGAGAATGGGATAAGGGTGCGATTGAAATCTATTATTGTTACATACCTGCGTGAGGGAGAAAGAAACAGGAACCCGAATCAGAGTTCTTCCGATGGAGACGGCTAGGATTTCGTCTGTTGGAGGCGGATATAGGTTCATCTGATGGAGGATGCTAGGGTTACATATGGGAGGTTGGTGGTGAAGGCAGAGAAGGTGTTGGAGATGATGACCATCGGAGGTCGTGAAGGCATGTAGCTAGGGTTACACAAGAAAATAAAGTCGCGATTTTTGGGTGATTGTAATGGTGAAGTCGTAGAGGGTGTTGAAGACACCGTTGGAGATGGGAGGGGATGTTGTCGGAGACAAGCCTGAAGGTGGTGGTGGTGATGACGCCTGGCGTTGGTGGTGGTGAGCAGCCACCAAGTTTTTGTTAAGAAGGATCAAGTGAGTAGATGACCGACTACCTGGTGTTAACCGGATAAAAAGCCATAAGTGGTAAAATTTGCTCAAATGTTAGGCATTAATGAACATAAATTTGTACTTTAGGCATAACCAACTATTTTGTGTAAAAATTGAGGGCTTTTATAGCAATAACCCTTAAATGAGAAGTCCTTGATAACATGTAAACCAATGGACATCCAAGTGCTTTATACATTATTCTCATAATTATTTGAAAATGCATATAAGAGTCACTCTATATTATGAAATATAGATATAGATGTAACTAGGGGTGAACATGGTGTGGTTCGGTGCGGTTTTCGGCCAAAACCGAACCGAAAACCGCAACTTCGGTTTTTTGAAGTTTAAAAACCGCACCGTTCGGTTTTTATGCGGTTCGGTTTTTGCGGTTTTTGCAGTTAGGTTTTTTTGCGGTTTTTTGTCAGTTTTTTTATTTGGTTTTTGTTTTGCCTTTTTACTAAAACTCATTAACTCAACGAGTTACTTTGGCTCGGATGAGAAATGTTAATCATTTATTGAGAAACTTTATATAGAGATGAGAAGCGCCGGATTGACTCTCTTATATGAAAGGTGAGAATGGTGAAAGTTTTATCTCAAAGGCGATGTGCGATATTCTTATACGGCTGACAAAATTAAAGCCCAAATGATATCTTGAAGATGAACCGATACCACTACGTCTTGGTTTGAAATCAAATGACATAATCACTCATCCAACATGTTTCTAATGCTTGTATATACTACAAATTAAATATGATATTTGTTTCATAGGTACATGCGATAATATCAATTAATGTATTCATAAAAATGATACTATCATCACCGATACTCTTCATATTTAAATGTTAAAAAATGTAATAAACATTATTTGTTTTTGTAAATATCACTATATGTATGCTTAAAAAAATACAATCATCCTCTGATAAGATAGATATTTATATTTATAGAACTTTTAATAATCATGAGTTCTTCGTTCTTACAGATATCAACACTTAATATATATATATTATATATATATTATATATATTATATATATATATATATATATATATATATATATATGTGGTTAGGTTCATGTGAGACAACATAATTTTGTGAGACCGTGAGACGCAATCATAGCCACTAATTTAGTAGATAAAACAAAAATATTTTTAAAATGCAAAATAATTGAAAATTTTCGAAATTTTTTTTCCCAATATTATTTTCGGAATATATATTTTCCAAAAATCATATTAGAATATTCTACATATCTGGCAAATCTAGTAGAATATTCTAAACATTCAAAAAATCATATTAGAAATGTACAGTGTAATATTCTATTAGAATATTTCACGTATTTTAAAAAAAAAACGGTAATTTTATTTTATTTTTTTTTATTTTTGTGTAGGTAAATAAAGTTTCGAAAATAAAAATTAAATTTTTTTTTTAGAAATTTCCTTTTATTTTGCATTTTAAATTTTTTTTTAGATTTGGTCTCACGGTCTCACAAAATTAGCATGGTCTCAAATGAACCTGAACCTATATATATATATATATATATATATATATATATATCTATATATATATATATATATATATATATATATATATATATATATATATATATATATATATTCGGTGCAGTTCGGTTTTTTGCGATTTTTGCAAGACTAGAAACCGCACCGCACTGCACCAAATGTTTTCTGTTTTTGCAAAACTAAAAACCGCACTGTCGGTGTTCATTTCGGTTTCGGTTTTTTGGTTTCGGTTTATGCGTTTTTTTCGGTTTGCGGTTCGGTTTTTGCTCACCCTTAGATGTAACGATAGAAATAAGCAAGAAAAGTAATCACCCAACAATTATAGAATTGAAGTCTAATATTTATGGAGGGACATAGGAACATATTTACCATCTTTGAACAAATGAAGTTGATGGAGGCGATATAAGTTATAATCAAAACCGATAAGTACAAACTTATACAAAAAAAATATACCACAAATAAACATCATAAAATAACCCAATCAATTAGCATAAAGCATGTGAATCAAAAACTAAAAAATAAATAAATACCAAGTCAAATGGAGAGATCATAGTGGTTATAAAAACCTAAAAGGAGAAGGTACAACAATCAACTTTGGATACTTTTGTAAATGAAAAATAAGGACTGCTAAATAATAATTTTAAAGGCTAAACCTTGTTTGTTACAAGTGGTTTTAAAAAATCGACATCACATATGGTTTGATATTCAGGACATGAATTTTTAGATAAACATTAAGATATCTAGGCTTGTGTATGGGGCAATTTTAAGGATGTAAACGAACCGAACGTTCGACGAACTGTTCGTGTACTGATCAATAGGCCTACTGTTTATGTTCGTTTATATAATAAATGAACGAACATGAATACAAATTCTTGTTTATTTAGTTAAACGAACGAACATGAACAATAGGCTCGTTCGTTCATTTATGTTTGTGAACGTTCGTTTATATATGTTCAATTATGTTTGTTTATCTTTGTTTATTGATGTTCGTTTAGCATGTTCACGAACATAAATAAACAAACATGAACAAGGTAATTTGTTAAACGAACGAACATGAACAAGAAAACTCGTCCGTTTATCTGTTTGTGTTTATTCGTTTGTTCGGCTAACTTAAACGAACGAACATGAACAAGCCATTGTTCGTGTTCGTTCGGCTGATTTATAGCCTTATACAGTTTGGTTCAGTTATTGGATTTGATAGAATCGAGCCCCATTCTAATTGGTTAATACATTTTAATAACATGTAGGTATTGATTATTATTGATTTTGGTTCAAGACCATGCATTACAAAAAATTAAAGACCATACATTTTTTTTTTTAAAAAAAAAGTAATAAATTATTAAAAAATGCAAAAACCACAAAATACAAAAAGATAAAAAGAAGAAAAAAAAACAAATTCCTTCAAAATAGAAAGAAAATCAGCATTTTCTTGCCCCACCCGTCTATTTCTATCTGACCAAAACATGACCCACTTTTCGGATTCCCTAACCCACCAGACCCAATTACACACCCGACCCATTCATTTTCCTTGAGCAGTAGAAAGATAAAGATCGTCCCAACAAATAACCCCAACCCCAAATTTACCCCTGCCACTTGCCACTGCACCTCCCATCCGTCGGCGACACCCACCGCAACCACAGTCGTCCGACCAGAGCCACCGTGAGGCATCGCCTTCCACGCCTCTCTTCAGTTTTCCTGTTTCCATCTTCTCTCCCGTACCTCTCGCACACCACAGCAGGAAACAACATCGAACTTCCAACCACCGCACCGTCGTTCGACTACCGCCTTCCACTTCCTCTTTTGCAATTCAGGTATGATTCCTCAAGTTTGATTCTGTGTCTCAGGATAATCAGGTTCGTCATTCATTCTTCATTCTTTCAAGACTTGTACTTTGGGCTTCAAGATTGATTCTGGGTGTATGATTCATTTTGTGCAGAGTCGCAGGCAGTTGAAATAGGCATCATTACCCTTTGATTCAAGACTTTTATGTGCATTAGATGAATTCTGTGCTACTTTTTATTGATTGATTAGGATTATTGTGACATTGTCTTTGCACATTGATTGTCTTTATGAACTACAGTGAGTTGCCAAAATTGTTCAGTTTTGTTTTCTGAAAGTTTTGTACAGTGGGGTGTCGATATGCAAATTTATTGTTTGGAAAATTTTGTACAGGCTTGAGTTTTAATGTTTAAATGATGGAACGAAGTGGCGATAACTGATAATCCAATCACCATGCTTTCCTATCCTTTTCAACTCCACATCTTCCTCTTCTATATTCTTTGACATAATCAAGACTTATCACTTATATATCGATCCTTTTCCCTTCCTCAATGCCTGTTGTGTTAAGATCTATAATAATGAATCATTGGATTAATATAGTAAATTAATATGAAGTGAGGTATATATTTAAGAGCATATATACCTGCAACAGACACAACTGTTTGAGAAGCATTGTATGATACAAACATACAGTATACAACCACTTTAAAAGCCCGACCCATGATTGTGGCGTTGAGACTTGCTATATAGAAATAAACAGGAAGATGGTGATTAATCGAATTAAAAAAAGCATAATTAGGTACATTTTGAAGTATAATGTCCTAAAACACAATATTATAATTCTGTATATTTTTCAAGTAGAATGTTATAATACACAAACAAATGAAAGTACTTTGCTATTTCCTGCATTTAGCCCTAACAGTTGCATATCAGGGTATACCTCCCTATGGTATAATTTTGTTGGGAATTTGGGATTCCACCCATGTTATGATGTACAGTAGGTAAAACTGGAATTGCCTCCTTTGTAACATCAACACCACCAAAGATGGCATCGGTTTCAGAGATACCAAACCTCTGGTGGTAGGTGACTCAAGTGAAGATACATGTGGTCCTTCATTGGTACTATTTGAAGAAAGTAATATTAATCACATATAACTAATGCACGATTTTGGAATTGATCTAAAAACAATTAGTCACAATCAACAGAAATCCATGGGAATGATGAAATAAAGCTTAAGTAATACCTCAATTAAGAAAGGCCTGCAAGTGCTAACATAGCCTTCCCATCTCCTGTGCAAGTATGAGCAGAGATTGCTGAGTAACATGCTCTACCATATCCCTGAAAACAAAATAGTGATGAAATAATACTAAATATCAAATTAAAGTAAGATGATGAATAGAAAACAGCGTGAGTATACCTGTTACAATAGTTCTTTGTGTATTGGCTTTTCCTGTCCTTCCAAGCTTCTTAAAATCATCCCCTCACTACGTAGCAGGATGTTCCATTTCCTGGGGTTTGCATCTCGGATGTAAAGCCACGTGACTCAAGAACCCCTCTGGACCCAATAATAAGCAGACCTTTCAACAAGAGAATGCTCTGTGGAATATGACTTATGCTTGTACCTTCTATATCTAACTCTTTTAAGCACTCTATACATCCAAGTGCCTCTGGCAACTTCTCAATTCGAATACAATTGGCAAGATTGATATGTTTTAGATATTTCATCTCACCAATGCTATTTGGGATTTCTTGTAAACGTTCACACTTCATTACTTTTAACTTCTCTAAATATTCTAATCGGCCAAGATCCTTGGGTAACTTCTCAAGAAAAAAACAGGAGTTAAGTTCGAGAGACTTTAGATGTTTCAACATACAAATGCTATCTGGAAGATGTTTAATGGTTGCATATAACAAAGTGAACTTCTCTAAACATTCTAATTGGCCAAGATCCTCAGGTAACTTCTCAAGAAGAAAACATGAATTAAGTTCAAGAGACTTCAGATGTTTCAACATACAAATGCTATCCGGAAGATGTTTAATGGTTGCATAATACAAAGTGAGCTTCTCTAAACATTCTAATCGGCCAAGATCCTCCGGTAACTTTTCAAGATGAAAACAAGCGTTAAGTTCGAGAGACTTCAGATGTTTCAACATACAAATGCTATCCGGAAGATCTTTAATTGTTGTAAAATACAAAGTGAGCTTCTCTAAACATTCTAACCGGCCAAGATCCTCACGTAACTTCTCAAGAAGAGAACATGAGTTGAGTTCGAGAGATTTCAGATGTTTCAACTTGCAAATGCTGTCTGGAAGATGGTTTATCTTTGTAGACAACAATATTAACTCCTCGAGACATTCCAACCCATCAAGGTCCTTGGGCACCTCCACAAAACTTCCTTCCATTTTAAGCTTTCTTAAACGTCGTAACCCACAAATGCTTCCTGAAATCTTCTCAAGGCTTGTGCAAGCACACTTGACTAGAGAAATAAGCATCTCAAAATTTCTAGTCAGTGAGAGCTGATCTTCTCTATAAAAATAAATAAGCATCTCAAAATTTCTAGTAAGTGACAAGCTATTGTCGGGATGAAGTGGGCAGCTTTCTAGGGACACCTCAATCAGATGTAACTCAGCTAAAGGACTACAAGATCTATAACCCTTTGCCTGAAACATAAGAGCTCTAAAGCCCAAACCACCGCTTACGTACAAGTGGGAAATCTCTTTTAGACATCCAAGAGGAGTGATCAGTTCTACCAAATTACAACATTGTGCAAGATATAAGTTCTTGAGATTTGGAGTCAGCCCAAGGTTAAGGGTCCTCAACTTTGAATGACTAAGGTTGAGGTTTGCCAACTTTTGACAGTCATCGACCATGTGAAATTCTTCCAAATAATAAGAATTTTCAAGATCTAAATTCTTGAGATTGGGAGTCAGCCCAATGTCAAGGGTCCTCAATTTTGAATTGGTGATTTGTAGGGATATGAGATTTAGACATCTATTAGGCATTTGAAGTTCTACCAAATCAGGACATTGATCAATAATCAATATCTCAAGATTCAGAGCCAACCCAAGGTCAAGAGTCCTCAACCTTGAATGTGTGAGGTCGACGGATGTGAGCTTTAAACATCCAACGGACATGTGAAGTTCTTCCAAATCATAACAGTTTCTAAGATCTAATGTCTTGAGATTTGGAGTAAGGCCAATGTCAAGAGTCCTCAACTTTGAATTAGCAAGTTGTAGGGACATGAGATATAGACATCTATCAAGCATGTGAAGTTCCACCAAATTACAACATTCTTGAAGATATAATGTCCTAAGATTTGGAGTCCGCCCAAGGTTAAGAGTCCTCAACTTTGAATGACAACTGTTGAGGTTTTTGAGATTTTGACATTCATCGGCCATGTGAAGTTCTTCCAAATAATAACAATCTCCAAGATCTAAATTCTCGAGAACCGGAATCAGCCCAATGTCAAGGGTCCTCAATTTTGAATGACAAATGTTGAGGTTTTTGAGCTTTTGACATTCATCGGCCATGTGAAGTTCTTCCAAATAATAACAATCTCCAAGATCTAAATTCTCGAGAACCGGAGTCAGCCCAATGTCAAGGGTCCTCAATTTTGAATGACAAATGTTGAGGTTTTTGAGCTTTTGACATTCATCGGCCATGTGAAGTTCTTCCAAATAATAACAATCTCTAAGATCTAAATTCTCGAGAACCGGAGTCCGCCCAATGTCAAGGGTCCTCAATTTTGAATGAAAAATGTTTAGGTTTTTGAGCTTTTGACTTTCATCGGTCATGTGAAGTTCTTCCAAATAATAACAATATCCAAGATCTAAATTCTTGAGAACCGGAGTCAACCCAATGTCAAGGGTCCTTAATTTTGAATTAGTGAGTTGTAGGGATCTGAGATTTAGACATCTACTGGGCATGTGAAGTTCTTCCAAATCACAGCATCGATCAAGAATCAACTTCTCGAGATTCGGAGCTAGCCCAAGGTCAAGAGTCCTCAACCTTGAATGTGAGATGTCGACATATATGAGCTTAAAACACCCAACATGCATGTGAAGTTCTACCAAATCAGAGCATCCTCTAAGATTCAACGTCTCCAGATTTGGATTAAACCTAAGGTCAAGGGTACTCAACTTTGACCAACTCAGGTTAAGGAATCTAAGCTTGTTAAGAACCTAACATAAGAAAAATTAAAAGACAAGATGAATATTGGTGTAATAACAATAGAATGGATGTAGAACATTACAATGAATCATGAAGAAACAAACAGTCAATCATATTTCTACCTTGTTTTCTCCCGCTTCCCAAAGTTGTACGATTTGACTGTTAGCCATCTCAAGTGAAACAAGATTATTTGCTTGAAATGCTTTGGGTAAAGACCAACAAGGGTAATAATCCACACGTAGATATTGTAAAGCATTTGGAAAGTCCGGGTTGGCTATATTATTAAATTCTAAAGTACGGGAACAATATCCAAGATACAGGGCAAGAAGTCTAAGTTTTTTCATCTTTCCAAGACCTTTTAGAACAATATGCGGATTGAGTTTCTCGGCATGGAGTAGTATACATCTTGTTGCTTTAGTGCCCTGTAATCATAAGACAGTCAACATGAAACCTAAGTTGTAACAAATGAACATGTGTTAGTTTTCCCCAATTAACTTAGAAAAAAAAAACTTGATCCTTACCAAATCATTAGACAATATCTCTTCAATTTCATCGGCAATCCACAATCGGCTATGTTTGTGAGGCTTATCCGGGTGAGAGCGACGAACAATATTCCTGCCCATTTCTTGAATATGGTCATGCATTCCCACACACTTGTAACCTTGACTATTATAATTAGAAATACTTATGAGAGATCTCTGCTCAAGAACTCTTAAACCATTTCTAGCATGTAATCCGCAACTTTCAAGTGCTTTTATTGCATTGTCTTTCCGCCAGCCTTTCATGATGCATGCAATATCTAGGAATATTTCCTTGTAATCCTGCTCTAGACCAATATAACTTAATTCCAGCCTTTTTAGTGTTTCTGCTAAAGGAACCATTTTTAGTCTTTTTAAGTAATCTACCCATTCAAGCTCATTTTTACCACAAAGAAATGATCCCAAAACTCTGACCGTTAAAGGAAGACCAGCAGCATAACCTACAACTTGGTTGGATAGCTTTTCATATTGTTGAATAGGAATATTGCCACCAAATGCATACTTATTGAAGAGGCAAATTGCTTCCATATCGGATAACAAATTGACATCATGAATCAACTTCACTCTGTGTGCTATGAGCACTTGCTCATCTCTTGTTGTAACAATAATTCTACTTCCCGGCTTAAACCAATTAGGCTCACCAGCTAACGCCTCAAGTTGGTCTATATGATCCACATCATCTAGAACAACAAGAACCTTCCTATTGGGCATTATCCTCTTCATCATGTGTTTACCATCATAAACACTACTTACATTGATGTCTTTATCATTTAATACGTCAGAGAGGACTTGATTTTGCAACAACTTCAAACCGGATAACGAAGCATTTGAAAATTCCCTCACATTCTCGACAAAGCTTTTACCTTCGAACTGAAAGCATATTCGATCAAAAACAGCTCTGGCCAAGGTTGTCTTCCCACCACCTCCCATCCCCTGGATCCCAATCATGCGAACATCATCAAAACCAATTCCTAAATATGATACAACATCATTGATCCGGGTCTCCATTCCTACTAAGTTCTTATCAATGCTTAAATGGGTGGAATGTAGCTCCAATGAAAGCTCTTCCACAATCTTTTGGATGAATTGAGCTTCATGCCTGCATTTTCAAGAAGAGTAAAATAACTATACTCACAGTACGTACCACATGACTGGTTACTTCATTTCTATAACATACAGCCCTATATGAAAAATAACATAGTTCGTATAATAATATTTCATTTTTAATCTTTGGACAAGACCCAGAAATTATAGTTAAAATTTGATAATCTACGATGCAATGTAAGAGCCTTTTACATCCAAGGTAAACATAGATCAGAAAGAAACAAAATACAAGAATATTGCAGAGATCTAATGAAGGAATTACCCAGCAGCAGTATTCTTCAACTCCCATCCAGCCAGATCTGCTGCTTCTTTCAGAGCCTCCCTCCATTTCCTGGCAGCCTCTTTCTTTTCATGTTTGGCGAAGGCTTCTGCCACTGACCCGCTTTGTTTGCGGACTTCCGAAGGTTCCACGTCATAGAAGAGGGGATAAGCAGTATGCTCGATACTCCTGTGACACTCCATTATCTTAACAAGTTCATCCAAACACCAAGATGAAGAGGCATAGTTCTTGGAGAAAACAATGATGTAGAATTTTGAGTCTTCAATGGATCTGATAAGCTCATCACTAATGTTTTTCCCTTTTTTGATTCTCTGGTCGTCCTTGTAAGTATGAATGCTTTTTTGTTTAAGAGCTTGATAAAGATGATCAACGAAGTTCGTACGGGTGTCTTCACCCCTAAAACTCAAAAATACATCATACTTAAAGCTCTTGTGAACGAATGAAGTTGAAGAAGACGCCATTGAAGGTATGATCGAAGGATTCTGATAAAAATCAAATCTTTGTTGGGGAATTGAAGTTTATGCGAAATTGACTGTAAAGAAACTTGGAGGAGATGAATGAGTGACCCGTAAGTGTAAATTACTTGTAACGAAATGTGTTTGTTTGGAAAAGCTGGAATGGGTGGAAATTAAAGTAAGGCACTTATTTGGTCAAAAGAAGAGGGTAGCTAAGTAGCTTTATTTGAACAAATTAAGAATAAAGGCAATTTTTATTGTCTGTATATTTTCCCTTTTGAAAAAGATATTGTACTATCTGACTACATGCTTATATTTATGTAATTCTTTTACTTTTGAGAGCATTATTTTACTCTATTTATTAATAATCTATCTTTTTTTTTGGACAGCAAGCATATAATAATTAAGAAATTACTTGCAAGAAGCTAGGTAGGAGGTACAAGGAAAATTTAACAAAATAAGTATCAGGCAAACAAGAGTTACATTCAACTATCGGGTTTTGACACCATCCTTCCCACCTGAACCATCAGTTTTCATCCTTGAATTGATTCATAAGTGTGATATAAACTGTACCTAACTTGCCAACGCCATGTTCGATTTAGGGATATTTGAATGCACTTTATGGTTTCTAAACTCCCACATAACCCACAATAATACGAATGCTATAGCCACATATACTTCAACCAAATTACCCGTACCTCCTTAACTATTGCACAACTCAAGAATACATGAGCTTCGTCCTTTGTTTCTGACTATAGATACAGAAGTAGGGATGGAATTGATTCCTGCTTTATTGAGATTAACCATGGTAAATAGTCTCCAATGGCTCACCTTCCAGGCTAAAATTTTCAATTTACTTGGGACGAGATTGTTCTAAAATTGTTAAAAATCATCATTTAATTGTTTCTTGAAAAACTTTTAGTCTTTGCATTTGTCTTCTAAAAAACAAAAGTCATCGAGTGTAATTGGTTTCATATTACAGGCAAGTCCTATTTATACAACTTTCACATGCAACTTTAGTCACATAGTACAACTTTATACACTTATAATGATAAATCACCAATCATATCGCATATGACGTACCAAAAGCATATAAGATGTAATTATTACCAGAATCATTTTCACAATACAATGAAAGGTAGCAATCAACACGCACATATGATATGAAATGATTCTTAACTTTGTAATTAAATACAACCTTATTGTTAATCAACAGGTTCTCCAACTCTATTGTCTCTAGCAAGTCCTAGTTCCTAAAATATGTCTTCACATAAATACATCTTTCAAAAGAGACTATAAAAATACTGAATCTTAAAAGTCCAATCAAATTTACCATATCAAGCTTCTATCTTTCAAGTTGACATCATGATAACTCTCCCATGCTTTGTACATCAGATCGCAACCTACAACACTCACATAGTCATCGAATATGGTCACCAGGAATAACATATGTATATAAATATCTATATTCTATACACATGCACACACACACACTGACACACACCTTCTTCTAATGTCTCATGTACATGTGTGAAAGACAGCAGCATTATTTTGCATGATCGATTCAGCATGTTCAATCGGATACGAGAGTGAAGTGAACCATTTGTATTCCTGATTTTGTCTAACCATGCAATGGTCTTCTCTCCAGCATCCTTTTCCAATGTTTTTTGTTTTTTACCTGTATATAGCAGAGAAACTTGAGGCCATATGATGCATTTTTTTTCTATTAATTATACACGCAAAACTTGGAAAACAACTTCACCTGGCTTATGGATTTCTGCAGCTCTATTAGCACAAGCTCTACCAAAAACACCAATGTCAAGAAGAGAATTTGCTCCAAGATCTAGACGATTTGCACCATGAACTGAGGCCAGGCTGCCTCTCCATGGTAATTAGTTGGGATTCCATCCATGTTGTAATGGACAGTTGGTAAAACTAGAAGTGGCTTCTTTGTAACATCAACACAAGAAAAGATTGCAACTGTTTCAGAGATACCAGGAAGTCTCTCCTTGAGAACCTCTGGTGGTAGGACATTCAGGTGAAGGTAAATGTGATTCTTCATTTTGTCCTGGTCAAAGGAAGTAAGATTAACCACATATAATTGGGAAAATGATGCTTGACAACTAAATTAGGGTTTAGATCTTGATGCAAGATTTTATTGATCAAGAAACATACCAACACCACGAACTTCTCTGATTTCCATGGTCATTGATCTTGAAACATCCCTTGATGCAAGATCCTTTGCAGTTGGAGCATAACGTTCCATAGATCGTTCACCTTCACTATTCCTTAAAATACCCCCTTCACCACGAGATCCTACATTAAGATGAACCAAGTTATGACAGGATTTTCAATTTAACTCTGGTTAGAATGAAGAAAAATACACTGACCTCAGTAATGAGGCACTCAAGATCCTGAAACAAGATATTAATAGAATCCATGGCAATGATGAAATGAACTTCATTTATACTTCAAGAGTAAGGCCTGCAAGTGCAACCATAGCATTCCCAACTCATGTGCAAGTATGAGCAGAGATTGCTGAGATACCATAACCCTGACAACAAAATGAATGGATTGAGAAAATAAGTAGATTGCCTAATTAGAGAACAAAATTAACCTTAGTTAATGAAGGGTCAAATACATGAAATAGCAATGCACTTTCATTTCTTTCTATTACAACATTGTACTTTGAAAAATCTAACCAATTAGAGAAATGTCATCCAAATACAAACCAATCATTACTATAAGATAAGAAAATATTTAAAAAGTACATTTCTATAATTAAATAGATTTTTCAAAGTACAATACCTTATTTGGAAAAAAAATTGAAAGTATAATGCTATAATATAATTGATAATTTTTGGCTGAAGAATTAATAAAATTCATATCAATTATAAAATTCAAATCAAAGTAAGATGATCTATAGAAAACAGAGAGCGTACCTGTTACAACAGTTCTTTGTGAAATGGCTTTTCCGTAATCATCCCACTATTATGTAGTTTAACATTTCATTGCTTTGTATCTCGAATGTAAAACCAGATGACTGAAGAAGCCCTATCGACGCAAAAATACACAGACCTTTTAACAAAAGAATGCTCTGCGGAAGACGATTTATGTTTGTACCTCCTATATCTAACTCTCTCAAACATCCTAAACATCCAAGTTCTTCAGGCAACTTTCCAATTCGAATACAATAGCGGAGGTTTAAGTTCTCTAAAAATTCTAATTGGCCAAGATCCTGTGGTAACTTCTCAAGCAGCGAACAATCATAAAGTTTAAGATATTTCAGGCGTTTCAACATGCAAATGCTATCCGGAAGATGTTTAATCTTTGTAAAGGAAAAATCTAGCTCCTCTAAACATCCTAATTGACCAAGATCCTCCGGTAAATTCTCAAGCCATGAACAAGAAGTAAGTTTGAAAGATTTAAGATGTTTCAACATACGAATGCTATCCGGAAGATGTTTAATCTTTATATATGACAATTCTAGCTTCTCTAAACGTTCTAATCGGCCAAGATCCTCGGGTAACTTCTCAAGAAACATACAGAAAACAAGTTTGAGAGATTTCAGATGTTTCAACATACAAATACTATCCGGGAGACGATTAATCTTTGTAGACCTAAAAACTAGTTCCTCAAGACATTCGAACTGGTCAAGGTCCTTGGGTGCCTTAAGAAGATTTCCATCCACTTTAAGCTTCCTTATACGTTGTAACCCACAACCTGAAGACGTCTCAAGGATTGTGCAAGCACACATACCTACATAAATAAGTATCTCGACATTCCTAGTCAGCGTGTGTCGCTCTTCTTCATAAAAACAACTAAACCAGAACTTGGCCAGATTATTGCTGGTGTGAAATGGGCCTTTTTTTAGGGACTCCGCAATCAGATATAACTCAGCTATTGGACCAACCTTATGTGATTTATTCAGACTACAACAAGTATAATCCTTTATGTTAAACAAAAAAGATCTAAACCCCAAACAACCATTTAAGTCATAGTGGACAAGTTTGTTTAGACATCCAATAGAAGTGTGAAGTTCTACCAGATTAGAACATTCTTTAAGATATAGCGCCTCCAGATTTGGAGTCAGCCCAAGGTCAAGAGTCCTCAACTTTGAATGACTTATGTTGAGGGTGGCGAGCTTTGGACATTCACCAGCCATGTGAAATTCTTCTAAATAGGAACATTTTTGAAGATCTAAAGACTTGAGATTTGGAGTCAGCCCAATGTTAAAGGTCCTCAACTTTGAATTACTGAGTTGTAGGGATATGAGATTTAGACATCTACGGGGCATGTGAAGTTCTACCAAGTTACGGCATTTAGCAAGAATCAAAGTCTTGAGATTCGTAGCCAGAGCAAGGTCAAGGGTCCTCAACCTTGAACGTGTGAGGTTGACATAGATGAGCTTTAAATATCTAATGGGCATGCAAAGTTCTACCAAATCAGTACATCGTCGAAGATTCAAGGTCTCGAGATTTGGAGTAAGCCCAAGGTCAAAGGTTCTTAACCTTGAACATCTGAGATCAAGGAATCTAAGCTTGTTAAGAACCTAACATAAAAAAAAAGATGAATATTGGTGTAATAACAAAACAATGAGTGTATAACATTATTATGAACCATGCAAAACAATCAATCAACCATACTTTTACCTTTCCTTCTCCCCCTTCCCAAAGTTGTACGATTTTACTATAAGCCATCTTAAGTGCAACAAGATTATTTGCTTGAAATGCCTCTGGTAAAGAACTAAAGGGGTAATCTTTCAAATCCAGATATCGTAAAGCCTTTGGAAACGCTGGGCTGACTAAATTAGATTCCGTATTACATAAACGACCCCCAAGAACCACAGAAAGAAATCTAAGCTCTTTCATCTTTCCAAGACTTTTTATAAAAATATGTGGAGTGAGTGTCGCGGTGTAGAACTGTATACATTTTGTTGCTTTAGTTCCCTGTAATCCACAAAAGCGACCATGAAACTTTTGTCTTAACAAATGAAAATGTGTTGGCTTTTCCCAACATAGAAATAAACTTGACCCTTACCAAATCATTAGCCAATATATCTTCAATTTCATCATCAATCCACAATCGGCTATGCTTGTGAGGCTTATCGAGGTGTGAACGACGAACAATATTCTTGCCCATTTCTTCAAGATGGTCATGCATTCCCACATGATTACGAGAAATGGTTATGAGAGATTTTTGCTTAAGAACTCTTAAACCATTTCTAGCATGAAATCCACAACTTTCAAGCGCTGTAATTGCATTGTTTTTCTTCCAACCTTTCAGAATGCATGCAATATCTAGGAATATTTCCTTGTAATCGTCCTCTAGACTGGTATAGCTTAATTCCAATTTTTTCAGAGTTTCTGCTAATGGAATTGTTTTTAGTCTTCTTAGGGCATCTATCCATTCAAGCTCATCTTTACCACAAAGAAACGAACCCAAAACTTTGATAGTTAAGGGAAGACCAGCGGCATAGTGTACAACTTGTCTTGATAGCTCTTTGTACCCTTCAGTTGGGATCTCTCCCCCAAATGCATACCTATTGAAGAGGAAACTTGCTTCCTTATCCGATAAAAGATTGACATCATGAATGAACTTCACTCGGTGTGCTACCAGCACCTGTTCATCTCTTGTAGTGATGATGATTCTACTTCCCGGCTTAAACCAATTAGGCTCACCGGCTAACGCCTCAAGCTGGTCTACATGATCAACATCATCTAATACAACAAGAACCTTTTTATCACGCAACATCCTCTTCACCATGTGTTTCCCATCATAAACACTACTAACATTGATCTCTTCGTCAATTAAGACATCTGACAGGATTTGATTTTGCAATGACTTTAAACCAAACAAAGAAGCATTTGAAACTTCTCTGACATTCTCAATGAAGCTTTTACCTTCGAACTGAAAAGCTATTTGATCAAAAACAGTTCTGGCCAAAGTTGTCTTCCCACCACCTCCAATCCCCTTGATTCCAATCATCCGAACATCATCAAACCCCTTTCCTAAAGATGATGCAACTTCTTTGATCCGGGACTCCATGCCAACTAAATTTTCATCAATGTTGAATCTGATGGATCGTAACTCTCTTGAAATCTCTCCAACTATCTTTTTGATGAATATAGCTTCATGCCTGTATTTTCAAGAAGATTCAATTAGCATACTCAAAATCCCACAGGAGCAGTTACTTTCAGATATATAACATACAACCCTATATGAAAAATAATAGTTGTATAAATCATATTTCATGGTTATTCTTTCAAGAAGACGCAAAACTTGAGTAAAAATTTGACAATTTAAGATGCCGTGTACAAGCCTCTTACATCCAGGTTATGCTCTAGATCAGAAAGATTCAAAATACAAGAATATTGCACATTTATGATGACAGAATTACCCATCAGCAGTCCTTTTCAACTCCCATCCAGACAGATTTGCTGCTTCTTTCAGAGCCTGTCTCCATTTCCCTGCAGCCTCTTCCTTTTCATGTTTTGCAAAGGCTTCTGCCACTGCCCCGTTTTGTTTGCGGACTTCTGAAGGTTCCACGTCATAGAACAAGGGGTAAGCGGTATGCTCAGTGGTTCTATGACATTCCATTATCTTCACAAGTTCATCCAAGCACCAAGATGAAGAGGCATAGTTCTTGGAGAAAACAATGATGTAGAATTTTGAGTCTTCAATGGATCCGATGAGCTCCTCATTAATGTTTTTCCCTTTTTTGATTCTCTGGTCGTCCTTGTATGTATGAATGCTTTTTTGCTTAAGAGCCTGATAAAGATGATCAACGAAGTTCGTACGGGTGTCTTCACCCCTAAAGCTCAAAAACACATCATACTTAAAGCTCTTGTGAATGGATGAAGTTGAAGAAGAGGCCATTGCAGTATGTTTGAAGGATCGTTAAAATCAAATATGCGTTGGGAAAAGTTTATATATGCCTACGATTCCAAAGAAACTTAGATGATCAGATGAGTCGAGTACGCTCTGTATATTAATTAAGAAGATAGTGGATAGCGTAATATGAACGCGTTTATGTGTTTGTAAAACTTTACATTTATCTATTTAGAAAAATTAAAAGATGATGGGAATTTTGTTATATGCACTTTAATGAGTCTAATACTTTTGGGAGGACTTTTCTATTATATTTGTGTTTAAAAGTTCATTTTCTAGTAATTTTAATTAAAAGTTGATGTTCACTTGGATCTTGATATCCACTTACTAATCTATTTTACTTTCGGGAGGACTATTCGAATCACATGTGTAAGGGATTTTGAAAAAATAATCTCTTTAATTTGTATTTGAAAAATACTCACTTATTTTGGAATGGACAATTTTGGATAGGAGTTATCGGTCTGTCCATTCCATATTGGGCTTCGGACAAAATGGGCAGTACATAAGGCATTCTATACATGGAGTATTTTCATATTTTGGACTTAGTGGGCAAAGAGGAAATAACATTTGTGTAACACCTTAAATTTCAAATCAAATTTTTCATTTTTAATTTACCCAAAATATTGTTCATAAACAAAATCATTGGAAAAGCACAAGTATCAAGTACAAATCATCATCACAAAATATTAGAGTATCACAAAATGTTCGGTAACAAATCTCCCAACCAGTGTGTACAATCAGACATTCGTCTTCCCGCGATCCTCAGAACTACCTGAAACACATATAATCAACAATTGTAAGCACGGAGCTTTGTGAGTTTCCCAAGATGTCACATACAACACAACATAAATAAACATCTATGGGTTATCAGCAACCCTATAGACTATCGGCAGTCCCAGCGGGCAAACAACACGCTTTGTGGGTTATTAGCAACCCTGGAGACTATTTGTAGTCTCAGTCACACATAAACAACATAACACAATAATAATAGTTTGACCCAGTTGGTCATCACAATTACAACTATTCTACCACATATGCAAGAATAAGTGAGGAGACTCGTCTGATACTGATGACAACTAAATTTCACACCCAAATTGTCGGAACTAAACTCTGCCTAATAACACAATAATTAACACTAATTAATAATTAAGGTCTACAACTCAACTCACATGTCCAAATCCCACAACTATCCTCCTTAAAGGCAAAAGACCATTTTGCCCATTCCATGGTCTAAAACCCTAAATCATGGCCAAAAGTCAAAAGTCAGCAAAAGTCAATTGTCGAACGTATATGCTAGGCGTACTCTTCCCCTACGTGCGGTGTACTCGAAGGATCAGGTGGGGCGGGGTCAGGCCAGGCTACATTGGGTGTAGCCAAAAGTACGTGCGACGTACATCGTCTAATCCCAAAAATCAGTCCAAAATGTCTTAATCATTAAGACATGCAACCCAACCATAGATTTGACCTCCATAGAACGTCTTAATCCATAAAGTCCATAACTGTAAGCCTTTGCATGGCTGAAAAGAGCTTAAACTTTAAAATCCTAACTTAATCCACACTCAACACCACCAAACTCTTGCATGGCTGGAAATGAACCATCAAGCAACCATTTTTATGAATCTAAGCACTCTAATACATCTAAAAGGATAGTCAAAATACTCTAGAGTAACCCATACTCACAAAGGCCCAAGCTTTGGGACAAAAAGCTCATAAAACCCATTTAAGAGATCTAGAAAGAAACACATCAAGGTATAAACTTTATACCTTCAAAAGATGCACAAGGTGAGGTAGTTTCCAAATCTACAAGCTTGCAAGCAACACCACCTTCTTTAATAGTCGTCTTCTTAAACAAGAAGGCACCAAAATCACTAAGAAGCTTCAAAATCTTCACACACAAGGCTTATACTCGAGATTAAGGTTTGGAAGGAGTGGATGCTGATTATGGGAGGTCCAAGGGTGAGTTAGGTGCTGTTTGTTTTTTTTAAAATAAAACCTCTTCAAACCACTTTTTGCTGCGCGACGCAGCACACGCGCAACACTTTCCTTCTCGCAGCAGTTTGTTTTTTTGGAAGGCTTCAGACTACAAAACCTCTGCGCGTGTGCTGCATGACGCAACACTTGACTTGCCTCTTCAAACCTCTTCAGCTTTCATTTTTTCCAAGTATTTTTTTAGAATTTTGGTATAACTTATTTTTTTTTAAACTGTTATTTTTTTTTAACTTTGATTTTTTAAAACTTTTATTAACGGATTTGATACAATTTCTTTTTATAGTTTCCACAAAATTTTTTTAACTTGATTTAAAAAAAAAACTTTGATTTTTTTAATTTTTTTTACCGTTTCTGTTAATAATATTTTTTCAGTTTCTGTTGCATCTTTTTTAACGTGTTTAATTTTTTACGAATTTTGTAGATATCGTTTGCAATAGTTTCTTAAGTTTTTTTTATTATTTTCTTTTTTTTTTATGTTTTCTAAAATTAGTTTTTTTTCTATAATAAAACTGTTAGCTTCTTTTATATTTTTTTAAGTTTTTTTTTTTGTAAAAAGTTTTATATTTTTTACATGTTTTTTTAGTATTCTTTCAATGTTTTAAGACTAGAATTATTAAAATTTCGGTGTTGAGAACTATTTTCAGTTTATAAAATTAGTTTATTTAAATTTTAGTTTACTGCAGCAGTCTGCAGATGTTAAAAAACAAGCATGCTTCTTATGATAGGTTGCAACCGTTTGTTCCACCTCTCTGCTACAGAGGATTGCAGCGGTGGTCCGCAGACTTTATGAATTTTCTCTTTGAAAAAACAAACAACACCTTCATGTCCTTAAATAGGGGTGAAACCCTAAAATTTAGGGTTTAGAGGCTGAGCAAGTACGCACCGCGTATCACATGTACGTCCAGCGTACCAGCATGGCTTCCGCGTTCCAGGTCTCTCACAAGTACGCTGCACGTACCTCACGTACGCCCAACGTATAATGCAAGACTTTTAACAACAAGGGACCAATAATGCAAAATTTAGTTAAGCCAAGGGCTTAAATGGAAATACCAGAAAATCAGATATTACAATTTGACTCCAATAAGTTAGAGGTTTTATAGTTAAGTTTTTCACTCCTTTACTTTTATTCATTAAAATTTGTAAGTGTAAATGCAAGATCTATAGTCTGAAACACGCATACATAGTCCAGAATGTGAAAAACAAATCTGAAACATAGATAATTGATATTATATAGGTAGGTAGTTTATTAGTATTAGTAAAGAGTTGAAAGATTAAAATGGTAGTTAGGCTTACAATAGCATGTTACTAGGTAATTCCAAAATGATTTTTTTATTTCGCGACACGAAGCTGGAACACGACGAACAAGTCCGGAATACGACGAATCAGTCTGGAATGTTTAGAAATGTATGTTTCTGACCACCATGACCAGTCCAGAATTACCTTCGGTGTCATATTGAACATATTTTAGTTTTGTTTTTCACAGCATGACCACATTTTTTTATAATTCTCTTACAGTGTCTTGCAAACATGTCATTGTTGCGAATATTCTTGCTAAAATCAGGAACCAACTACATGCGAGGCTATGTTCCAACATACGTGTTTTGGTAGGTTGTTAGATCTTCATGTCGGGCTAGAAGGGGATCTTTTGCTTTTACATTACATATTTTGCAAAGAAGTTGTCACAGACCCTCGAAGCCATGTAAAGGAAATGGTTTTTGAGATTGATGAGTACGAGTTGAACCTTTGGAAAGAGGGAATTATGCCTTTTCTTCGACTTCTAGTTTGGTGAATATATTGTAGCCTTGAATTCTGATTACGCCTTCTAATTACATGCGTTTCCTTTGGTCAAGACGAGTGAGTTGGAGCATGTTATAAATGTATTTGAAACATCTCTCCATGAGTTATTGAACGATGATGTGGTCCATGTGTGTCTATTATATCTATTAGAGAAAGGGTTCAATGATTGGTTGCCTCATCAACTTGTAAAGGAGGAGTAATTGGGTTTGATATCTAACTTTGATGATTTCAACATGCATCATGTTGTTAATTTATAAATATCATTAGTAATATTTTTATGGAAGTAATTATGTATTTTTTTGTCACATATATCTGTGGAGGAGGATAATTTGGGATCATTTGTACGCTGAGATAGTGATGGTACTCAATAAGCTTCATAGGCTTCTTCATCATGTTAAAGATGAAAAACCAAAACCTCAAAAATTGACGTACATCCTAAGCGGGTTTTATTCGCTTTTAAGGTAAAATACATGATTATCCTTTTAACATTTTCTGTTTGATAATATCTTATATGTGATTCTGTCATATATGGATTTAGAGACTTTTCTGGTCAACATTTTTTTGGGTACCTGACAAGCGAATGTAATCCTTTGGGTTATTAGATGGTCCAATCTTAAGAAGTTACAAAAATCGCATTGTGATGTGTTTGTTGACGTTAAGCGGATATGATTATTTATATAAATTTCTCATTACCAACCCTGTATATAATGATGTTAATAATTGATTAAAATTATGTTAGGATCATAATAAGCTTATAGAAAAATTGTAGCTGACACCGGATGCGAGTCATGATGTGTGGTGGTCTTACAGCTTCACATGGATGAAACATGATGGTTTACCTAATCCACATGATCACATGGCATTGTCTCTTGCACTATCACCTGGCAGGTCACCGAAGTATGAGCCTCCATAAAGTAAGCACGGAGAAATATTAGCAAAGTTCCATATCCATCCAACCCACCACCACCACAAAATTGGACCAACAATAGATGAGGACAAAATCATAATGGAGTTCAAAAGAAGCTTTAAGAATATAAGAGGTAGTTCCAATCACATGATATATATATGTCTCATGTTGAGGCTATATTAGGGATACATGTAGATCCTAATCATAAAGGTACCAGACAGGATGATGGTACCTTACTGGGGTTGGAAGTACATTGTTATTGAACACTCGTACATTTTTATTTAACTTTATGGTATACCCATTATTGCATCATTG